CAGTTGAGGGCTATCAATAGAGCTTCAGGTCGGAGAAGAAACAAATTTATAATGAAAATGTAGACGCACTCAAAGGAGAGTGTAGAAAAGCGTATGATTGCTTTTCGATAGCTTGGCAATTCAATATTAATGTATGATTAGCGTAGCCTGTCTAAATAGGAGGCAGAAAGGCGGGTTGGCACGTTGAGCGGTGTGTATAAGTATAAAGAAGACAGCAGGTAGAAGAGAAGACAAAAAGTGCGAAGCCAAATCCTATAGTCCATTTACTGCATCCTACTACCACACGCATAACAGAGTACAAACGGATTAGTGGCGCTAACATATGAATGTTCTGTGAAGTCAAAATTTGAGGGTAGAGAGCGTGACCGCGACACTATGGCCGGCTAATTACATATAATATCCAAATTTAGGATAGGAAAGGCAAGAAAATGATCAATTTTTGTGCTTTTCACAAATCTAGATGGAGGCCGCGCCATAGCAAAGCATTATGCACTGCTCTCTTTAGCTCCGCAAGGGATGTCAGAATTTGCGCTCTGTAGAATGTGATAGCGCAACGACATTTTGGCGACGACCAATTACAAGAAACCCCTGATGCAGAGGAAAGCAAGCGCGCGCAAATGGCTATTATCATTTGATTTTCGAAGAGTCAAAATTGTTCTATTCCCCTATGCACGACAAAATTTATCTAAATAGAAATGGTTTTACATAGCACAAGAGGTTTGACGAATAAACTTGTCTCCTAAACAGTTGACGCCACTCTAGTATGTCTTTTGTAATTTTAGTATCTTAAACGGGTGCACCATTTACATTTGATGTCATGTGTAATGTTAGAGAAGAAAGGAGCTGCCGATTATCGCTATGGTGATATCTTCGCAGAAAACGCCCGGCTGAAAAAGGACGCTGTAAAATGGTACTTGGTTTAATATAAAACTGAAATTTCATTAATTCTTATTGCATACGGTAACGCAGCCCGAGCCAGCAAAATTTTTCCAGTTTAAGCTAATGAGGTCAATCCTTTGTATGGCTCGAGGAGAGCGAAGCACTTTGTTATGTTCCTGGAAATGCCATCCCTTCGATGGCTGAAAAGTTATTTCGCCACAGCCAACGAGGAGTCATATACTTACAACAGGACAATGCGCAATCAGACGTCGAGAAAGATGACTAGTTGGGAGGAGTAAAGCTTGCCGCCTGCTGTGCCATACCCTACGTATATTGCTAGCCTCCATATATTTTAAATATTACATCATGCACAAGGCTAGTTACGTCTAATTTAAACGCTGTAGCACGAAGTGGCGCCTCGCAACTACGATGAGTTGGCATATGCAGTCTAAAAGTCGCTTTTGGGTCTTAAGATTAAAAACAGAAGTCGTCTTACTTTTTTTGCTGTGGTGTATGACTGCAGCGCTATACGACAATGATGACAATGCATATCAGCTTCTCCATTAAATATGCCACTTTTCGTCAACATGAAGACTATTCTGGACACTTTGTTGCCCTTCTGAGATTGTATAATGTGGCACATTTTCTTTGCCAAGTAAAAAATTACACATATGTAGTAGCAATCCATTTTTACATATTCTTGTTGAAGATATATAAAAACATTGGACACATCGTATCATTTGATTCGAGACAAAAAAATTAAAATGAAGAGTCTCCCGACCAATAGAGCTACTAAGATAGCAGATATTCGTTTCAAAAAAATTTGTAAGCAACGATACCCCTTGAGGTGTGTAGTACTCAGCTCCAGTATGATATTGGCTATGCTATCCACCAATAATTTTGATCGCAATATGTGATGAGATTTTATTACTATGAACATTAACTGATGAACATACTTCTTACCAATATTGAATGATCATGAAATAAAGTTATGTGTGCTATTCCAAATATGCTTTCTCCTTTAGATACCCCTTTTTTATAGCTTGGATGATTAATGTTGTTGCAAGGTCTGTAAATGATAATAGTATTAGAAGAAAACGCATTTGCTTTGACCATTCTAGTTTAATAACACTACAAAATTAACATGAACGGATTTATAAGTCGACCACGATAGTGTATGATGTCGCAATTCCATAGTCCTATCTTATCAGCTTACATCTACGTTGCGTCTGACACCATCTGTCACGCTTACATCACGCGATCAGATGTAGCCGCACTTAAACCGCATATGTCTTGCACTCAAACAGATTCGACTGCAAAGCCTGTGATAAAATCTTCTCAACACTTAAATCGACCTTCTGCTGTGCGTACGTGGCCGCGAAGTTCTTTAGGTACTATACTACGATGTGATTCTGTAAGTTGGTTGCATAATGTAAATATAAGCATTCAGTCCACCTATTAATGTAGCGCATGAAAGTAAAACAGCCTCCTCTCATCATAGTTAATGTGAAAATTCGTCGACCAGAGCGCAGCAAACTTCGAATTTATCAAAAAAGTACAAGTGCTGTAACTACAGCACAAAAATTAAATTATTTATGCGCAGTGTAAAGCACCTACAGCAACTAAAGCTAAGACGACATAATGCGATTTAAGTAAAATTGCTCGCAGCAACAAATGTATTTTTGTACTAATCCTATGTGCAGTTCAAAAGAAGCTAACAAAGTTAAACGCGACTCGTTACATTCGCCAAAAAATATCTTTGCGTTGCGGTAAATTGCTCCATCTCGTCTCACAAGAATGCCATAAGGCTGAAGATGATAGACCTTGTTATTTCATTCTGTGAAAATCTAAAAGAATCGTGAAAAAAGTTGAAGTAACATTCATTATGCGAAAGCACTTAATGCTAGCAAAATTAAGGTACAGACTATAAGTACGTTTATAGAAAATCAACTAAGACCAGTCATAAAGTGCTAAACGATGCCATCTAAACCAAAGCGCTGATCACAATAAATGTTGCACATTGATACATTTCAGTCAGCAGCCATGTGATGCGTGAACTTTGCTAACGAGATACACACTATCCGAGACTGCTGTGGTAAAGCAGGCCAAGACAATTTGGGCGATCGTTGCTGCGGCAAAGCGGATCGAAACAATGGAGGAGATCGTTGGGTGGAGTGATCGCAAATTACGACAAATCGCTGAGAAGGAATGATTGGCTGTTAAGTTGCGGGATGTCGAGATCGAAAATCACTACAGCGAGATCGATTATCACGACAACGAGATCGAATATCACAATAAGGGGATCGAATTTCACAATAGAGGGATCGAATATAACAATAACCAGATCGAAAATCACAACTAGGCGATCGGCGATCGGGGAGATCAGCGATCGGCCAAAGTGATCGACCAAGGTGATCGACGAAGGTGATCAGCGATCGGCCAAGGTGATCGACGATCGATCGAGTGATCGACGATTGGGATGATCAGCGATCGGCCAAGGTGATCGACCAAAGTGATCGACGATCTGGATGATCAGCGATCGGTCAAGTGATCGACGATTGGGAAGATCAGCGAGCGGCCAAGGTGATCGACGAGCGATCAGGGTGTGGACCACATATGCTAAAGGACGATCAACGAAAGGTAGAAGACACATGGCGGCATATCCTGGCATACAGACAGGCATACTCGCAGTTTTTAGATTTTGGTTGGTGGACATTAAACAGAATTCTTTTTACTTCTAAGTACACGTGTCAACTTCTCTTCCGGGCTGGAATATTGGCCTCCCGACTTCAAGAAAGTTTCGTATACTTTAATCAAGTGATATCCCCAGATAATTGGCTGGGGATCAAGAACTCTCAAAACAACCCCAACTGCGATCGGACGCAGCTAGAATGCAAAGGACAAGGCGCAAGATCGCGAGACGGCTCAAGTGGTCAGAAGGCTCGCATCAAGCAACAACATATTGGACAAGGCGATCTCTTATAGATCTAAGTGGCTTACATCAAGTAGCCTACAAGTACTACCGTGATCGCGTGAAGATTTCCGCCCGATCACAAACCCCATTCCAAACACGGTCAAGTTTTCTCTCGAAGCGAGTCCACCGAGAAGAGTGCAGCCCGCCCTACCGACGGGTACACAAGGTGAGGAAGGAAATACAAGACACGGAAACGGAGTACCCCTCCGATAGTCGGTCGTCTGGGCACCAGTGGAGAGTCGAGATCGCCTCATAAAATGAGCGATCGCCGCTCCACCACAATGGTGCGCGTGCCCGGATCTTCTGGCGACTCGGGATTTCACCGTGAGTCCCTGAGCGAAGATGAGAAGGTCAAAATTGAACCTGGAATGGAAGCGTATGAGGAAGAGGGATCGCCGCAGACGCGTGATGATAAAAGATCCCCAGATCGTCAGAGTTTTGGTAGGGGCTCTGATGACAAGAAGATTAAAGAGGAAGATCGAGCGATCGATCTGGAAGAGAAACCTCGACACCCTCCTGAGGTCCCTTCTAGGACCACCGCGGATCGTGCTGCAAGGCACAATCCGCTGGGTGAAACCCTTCAGCGAAAACTGAACAAAAACTAAACAAGACCACTCAAGCGAAGTCAGAGAAGAAGATTGTGAAGACAGATCGAGTGAAGAAAAAAGAGACACGATCAGATCGAACTGATCGCGAAATGAAATCGATCATTCGACCAATCAAGCTCATTGATGATGACATGAAGATGGAAGACTGGAACTGGGACTAATTGGCACAGGGATATCACTGGAAGGCACTCAAGAATCTGCTATCGAGCGATCCAGTGCTGCAGATATTGAAGCCCAGGCTGATCGGAGAAATTCAAGGTCCGATTTCCCCGCCGAAGGTGACGACAAACCCGTTGGACGGGATCAATGCGATCATTCAGCTACTACATGACGCTATATACGTCGCTGAAGTGTTCGATGCGAACAAACTGTTGGAGTGCGATCAAGATCAGGTGATTCACACGTGTCGATCGCTATATAACAAGTTGGCTCCCCTAACGGGTAAGTGCGAACCCAACGATCAAGCAGCCGCTGCGATCGCCGATACCCCGAGAGGATATCATACTGGATCGTCGCAGTACGCCTCAGCTGAGTCTGAAATGGAATCGGATGATTCGATCGGTATTCAGCGAATGTCTCTCGGCCCAAGTGGTGCGGCACATTTGCGTGATCAGGTCGATGCGATCAAGTGCGAACCGCGATCGGCGATCGCATGCGCTAAAGAAGAGATGACGTCAGCTATGCAAGGGCACCTACAAACATACCTGAAGGAGGCCATGGAACGTTTTCATCAAGATCAACGAGAACAAGCGTATCAAGCAGTCTACCCAAGCCAAAGAATCAATCCGGCAAGAGTCCAAGAAGTGTATATCCCAGATGTTGAGATGGAATCGGTGCGATCGCATCGCAGTCGATCTAACCATTTCGATTTCGACGATGCCGATCCCGACGATTCGGGCCAAGAAGAGCGGCGACGTGCTATGGTATCCACCACAGAGACGTTTCAAAACGGTGATAGTATCCCTCAACGCATTCGAGTATCCACGATGACAGAGCTGGAGGAATTCAGCGGCAAGGATCGAGATGAAGATCGAGCCAGAAGCTGGATCAGCAAAGTCAAGTCGGCATTCCTGCGCGATCAGGCGCCAGATGAAGAAAAATGTCTGGTATTTGGCGATCTGTTGACGGGACCTGCTCGTAACTGGTACAATCAATTAAGCCGATCTACACGACACAAGTGAAAGCGATTGCTAGATTGTTTTATGATACAATATGGAGGGCAAGGTGTGTCAGTGGCCAGACAGTATTATCTCGCAAGGAAGCGATCTGGTGAAACCCCGTTGGAGTACCTACATCGTCTTAATGTCGCGGCCAAGCTTGCCAAGATCGCGATTAAAGAAGAAAGACTGGCTACGGCAGCCACGCGTCGCGAACGTGTGGAACATTTCATCGCTACGCTGGACGACCGTGATTTGGCGAAACAGCTGACTTTGCTGAGATTGAGGGATATTGATGAGATGGAAGACACTCTCCGTGCATGCCAACGAATGGAGAATCGTCAGATAAAATCGACGATGGGATCAAACAAATTCCACCAGCGAGCGATCGCACCTACTAACCCAATGGCGTCCAAGACGACTCAGGTGATGCGATCGATACGCGAAAAAGTCGAAAGCAGCGGATCGGAATCGGAGTCGATCGGATCCGAAGAGGAAGTGGATCGTCGTCGCGTTTGTGTGACAACTACACCCGACCCAGAAATACCAAACAAGGATCATCGCACCTGGCAGAAAAACACTGGCGAAGGAGAGGGACGCGACCAAAGTGGACGATCGAAGGAGTGCACCCATTGTGGATCTACCAGACACGATGATCGAGGGTGTTGGAAGCGATTGACGTGCCAGAAGTGTGGGCGCAAGGGACACCCTTCTGACAAATGTTTCTTTGTGTGTGCAGCCTGCGGGGAGACACACGAGAGTGGCAAGTGCCCCATGGAAGAATTCTTCAATTTGATCCGAAAGTGGTACGTGCCTACGAAGCATGCTGGGATGTTTCCACCCAAGGTGGAGGAGATGTTAAACTAGAACGCTCGCCAGGTTGGAATCTGGCACGAGCCGAGCGTTCTAGGCTTTGCATTTATGCATTTGTGGAAGGACCAAGGAGAGATCAAGAGGTTAATGATCGGATCGATCCGATCGCTAATATACATAAAGATTTAACAAGGGTCTCGTCAGTGTCAAGTGTAAAAAGAGTGGATGATTACGCTTGATCGCCTGTGAGGATGGAGCTCGACCTTGCGCCAGGAGAATCGCGCGGATATTGGAAATACCACACTCCCGGGAAATGGTTCAATCAAGCTAAAGCGATGGGCAAGATTAACAACGAGAAAGCTACGATGCTGTTCGATTCTGGCGCTGAAGTGTCGATCCTCGATACTACCTTTGCTCGTAAGGTAGGATGCGTGATCGACGACAGTCAAACTCAAGAGTGCGTTGGAATTGGAGAAAATACGTGTATGACGGTAGGACGGACGAAGATCAAGATCACGTTGGACGGATCACTAGTTTATTATTTCGACGTTTGGGTAGGTGATCAAGTCGGCCAAGAAGTCATACTGGGTATGGATTTTATGGTTCCTGCGGGCATCCGTTTGGATTTAGCCGACGGGACATTATGTCTACCCGACGAAGTGCGAATTAATTTGGCAGGACGGAAGCCACCTTACCGATCGACTATACAAGCGATCAACCTGATAGATCAACACGTGGTCATACCAGTGGGCAGATCGACAGAGGTACGAACTGGAGTCGGTCCACCTAAAGCTAAACTTTGGGTGAGACGAGGCGTGGCGTGGGTGCCGACGGTCACTTGTGGACACGGCCAAATAAAGTATTTGCAGCTCACGAACCTCAGCGATCGTGAAATGATTTTAAATCACGGAGCTGCGTTGGCTTTGTGGATGACATCGAACATGATACCTAGATCACCAGGGTATTTATCGATCGGATCGAGGCGATATACAGAATGGCAAACACTAGCGTTTGAAGCGACCACAGAACGAGAGGAAGAGACAGTGGAAGAGTATACAGGGCCGTTGGTGGATCATCCTGTGTACGAAATACCCACCAGAATTCTACCCCGCCAAACGACAGAAGTTTTGGATAAGAGTATGTCGCAATCGGACCAAGAAAAATTCGACAGAAGCATGGGGCAAGATCAAGCTATGGACAGAAGACACTCGACGGAAGAAGATCAACGATTAACAAAGATAGCTTCTGCGATCTACACGATTAAAGAGACTGTAAACGCCGATCGAGGACATGATCAACCTAGCGAAGCGATCGGAGATGTAAGGGAAATCGCAACGGACGAGATCAGACGTGTAGAAGCTGATCTGTTTCATAAACGGTCCAGCTATCAGTCAGGCGCGATCGAAATGAGAGATGGTGAATTTCAAGGACAGGCCGATCAATTAGTCGAAGACTGCAAAGTGATGAAGATCGACACACTCGCGGACGATGAGATCGTGAGACCTCCGACAGGGATCGATGTGATCGAAACAGGGTACGAGAGTGATCGAGGTAGAGATAGACCGAGGCAGGCAGGACAGAAGTCGGGCGACATTGAAGATAACAGGTATGAGGTAACAGATCCTGTCCATAAACAGTCCAGCCGTCAGCCTGACAGGATTAAGAGTGAAGATTGTGAGTTACAAGATCAGGTGGATAAACGGACGAAAAAAATGGACTGCACCAAGACCGACGAAGAGACGACTAAAGATGAGTTGACGCCATCACCGATGTATCACCACGATGCCGGCGAACTGTTCGCAGAAGATGTGGATCAAAACCTGGCTGTTCTTCCCGAAGTCGTTACGCCTACACAAGATATAACGATCGATGATATCCAAGTAGGTGATCCCGGCATTCCAATAACCGAAGATCAAGAGAAATTACGACAAATGATTTGAAATAGCCGGCACCTACTAATTGGAAAAGGCAACGCCTTACCCCCTGCGGCGCGCGGCGCAGTCTGTGACATTGATGTGGGAGGAGCTAGCCCGATCGCACAACGGGTCCGACCGGTAGCTCCAAAGTTCCGAGAAAAACTCGCTGATCTGATCAAGGGACTGCTGTCGGACAAGATCATTCGACCATCTACAACACCATGGGCATCCCCTATCGTGGTAATCATCAAGAAAAACGGAGAAGATACAAGGCTGTGTATTGACTACAGGCGGGTGAATCAGCTGACTAGGTTGATGGTGTATCCGATGCCACTGATCAGCGAATTATTGCAAGACATGGATAAAGCTATGTGGTACTGTTCATTGGACATGGCAAGTGGTTTCTGGGTGGTGGAGATGACGGAAAGAGCAAGGGCAATCTCCGCTTTTATCACGCCATCCGGGTTGTTTGAGTGGTTACGGATGCCTTTCGGGTTGAAAAATGCTCCGCAGATCTACCAACGTTTGATCGATAACGCCCTCTATGGGCATTTGGAGATCGACCCAAAGTCGGAATCGACTGTGGTAGGGTCGCCGAAGTTGATAGATGTCTTCACCGATGGGGAACCGGATATGGTCCAAAAATATCAGTGTTGGGTCTAAGATCCTACATTGACGACATATAAATACCGGCTACGTCGTGGAAAGACCTGTGTGGAAAAGTGGAAAGATTGTTGGAGGTGTGCGATAAGTGGAATTTGTCGATCAGTGTGGCCAAAAGTTTTTGGGGCCGTCGCAAGGTGGAATATCTGGGGCACCAAATCTCACTCGCAGGGTTGGAAGCTAACCCAAAAAACCTGGAATCATTGGTGAACATCCCGTTTCCTCGCACACTGCGAGCGATGCAGTCATTTTTGAGAAGCCTCAACTACTACAGCAGATTCATTAAAGACTTCGCAATATACGCGTCGGTTTTGTATGAACTACGAGAGGCGGATTTTCATGAGATTAACCGTTTGAGTGAAGATCCGACGCCTATCGCAGCCGTGAGACCTGATGACGCTCGCGAAGGAAGAGTGAAGGGCGATCGTGATTTGTGTCCAAAAGCTGAGATCGATCGCGATTTGTACCCAATTGTGGGGGGCGATCGTGATTTGTGCCCAAAACCAAAGATCGATCGCGATTTGTACCCAATTGTGTGGGGGGGGTCGGGATTTGTGCCCAAAACTTGAGATCGATCGCGATTCGTACCCAATTGTGGGGGACGATCGAACGCCTGAGACCAGGAACCGATGGGAGAAGGCGATAATCGCATTCACATTGCTGAAAGCTAAGATAGCCACAACTCCAATCTTAAAACATTTCGATCCCGATCGGTCTCCTGTGATCGTGGTGTACGCTAGTAAGTGGGCCGTATCAGCTGCTCTACTACAAGAATATGATGGTGTGTATTGGCCTGTCACGTTCTCTAGTCGTACGCTAAAGCCCAATGAGGTCAACTACGGGATGGTGGAGAAAGAAGTGTTGGCTCTCCTCCGGATGCTAGATATCTGCTATACTATGCTAGTATCCCGTGAGATTTCGGTACTTACGCGGTATTCGACACTAGCATGGTTGTTACAATCTTCAGGCCTCAATGGAAGATTGGGAAGATAGGCTGCCTTACTATCGAACTGGACGCTGGAAATCAGACGATCTGAGAAAGGGGAAGATGAAATACTCGGTATGTTGGCTGCAAATATATCACCTCGCGAAGAAGTAGACGAAGTCTTGATTGCGATCGCCCCAAGGAAACAGCCAAGGCAGACCATAAGTATGCCACCACCCACAGTGGAAGTGAGTGAAAGCCTGCTAGTAGCCAGTTTCGATGGATCAGCCAGGGTGAAAAGAAAGGGCGGAGCATACAGCGCGATCATATGGAAACTGCCGGAATGGACGATTGTGGCCGCGGCTTCGGAGTTTGCCCCTGAACTTACTGTGAATGAAGCTGAATACCGAGGGCTGATCCTTAACTTCGATTTGCTCGCAGATCAGGCCAGGGGACGGGTGATTATCTGTGGAGATTCAAATTTGGTGATCCATCAAATGCGAGGAGAAATAGACTGTAAAGCGCCGGGGCTGCAATTGCTGAGGCACAAGGCTATGGAGAAACTGCAATCGTGGCCTTCACACGAGTTTTTACACATGAAGCGAGATTGGAATCAGAGCGCAGATCGACTGGCGAGTGAAGCTCTACAGCAAGAGAAAGGGACAGTTGTGTTTTCCGATCAAGAGCGACAGGATTTGATTACACTCAATCGGCTAAACGAATTGCTACTACCAGAACGAGTCGGTCGTGCTGTAAAAGTGACAGCTATCACTCGATCAGCCCAGAGAAGACGTTGTCAGCCTTGAATTTTACAGGAAGAAGTTGTGCGGCAAATACGGATTGGTCGTATTAAACAAGCACAAGACGAAGAAAGCTGGATATCGAGTCTGAAGACATATCTGGTTGGAGACATGGCTAAGCTATCGGCCGATGAGGCTAAAATGTGCGCCCTGATCGCGCCGGACTATGAAGTAGATCAGAGTGGGTTGCTATTTCTCTGTCCGCGATCGAACACCGAGGTTGACGATCGTACCGAACTGGCTCGGTTGGTGGTACCAGAACAGTTACAGCAAGATTTCTTGCACCACTACCATACCAGTTTGGAGGGTGGTCACCAAGGAATCGGCCGTACATATCAACGGATCAGGACGAATTTCCACTGGCGTGGATTGTACCGGAGCGTGCAGCGCTATGTGGGAGAATGTGTGGATTGTGAAACAGGAAAGGGACGACCGGTGGATCGAGGTGGATCACCTGGTAATATGCAGTTGACGTACCCTTTTCAGATTATAGCTATGGATCACATCCCTTCGTTGCCAAGATCTGTCAAAGGGAACACCGAGCTGTTGCTCTGGGTCGATTTGTTCTCGGGATACGTGATCGCAAAGGCAAGCTCGTCCAGATCAGCCCAGACGATCGCCGAAAGTTATGGGGAGTAAGTGTTCAGACGATTCGGAGCGAGCGAGGCGATACGTCATGATCGTGAGCCGGGATTTATGTCTGATTTCTTCCGAGCGTTCAATCGAATCGCGGGACAAAAACAGCGAGCCACTATGGCATATAGACCGCAAGCTAACGGTACGGCCGAACGCATGGTGCAGACGCTGACTCGATCGATTAAGATGTACGTTATGGATGAAAACCAAAAGGACTGGGACGAATACGCGGAGCGATTGACTTATGCGATCAATACCGCTCATGATCAAATCCGGGGAGATGCGCCTTTCTACTTGATCCACGGTTGGGATCCAAGATCGACTTTGGAAGCGACCCTACCGTTGGGAAGCACCAAACCCCGGGATCGAGATGCACGAAGATGGAGATATGGTATACAACGTCAATACCAACGTGCTCGAACAGTAGTGAATGGACGACTGAAGGATGCGATCAGAGGCCGAGCCGATCGACATAACGAAGACAGAGAGTTGCATGAATATCGATCGTGGGTCACGAGTGTGGTTATATCTGGACCGAGTTAAGGAAGGATACGCACGAAAATTGGCCCATATGTGGCATGGACCTTTTCGAGTGGCTGAGAAGTGCGGCGATCATGCAGTAAAGTTGGACATCGCAGGCACGCCGTACAGACTATTCCCAATAGTCCACGTATCTAAGCTGAAGCTAGTTCGCGTATTCCCGGAACGTCCAACAGGCAGTTTGATTGTGGAGGAGGCAAGTCGATTGGATTTTGATGAAGCACTGCTGCCGGAAGATAGCTGGGAGGGTAACCTAGAAGCGGACGAGTTTGAAATCGACAAGATCGTTGATGTGTGCTCAGGACGGAAGACGAGATATGGCCGAATCCATAAGCAGTACCTAGTACAGTGGAAGGAATACGACGATCCAACCTGGATTGATGAAGCTGATTTTAACTGTGGAGCTCTGTTACAGGATTTCGATCGCGATCGGGTCAGCAGGAATCGTTTCGAGGCAATGCAATCACACGAAGAAGAAGCCCGAGAATAGCGATGAACAGAAAGCTGGAGTGGAATGGGTCTATGCAGAGACGGTGCATGGACGAGGAGGAGAACTTGGGGTCCAAGGAGGTTGCACATGGAGATGGAAGGGAATTTATGTAATGTGAGTATAACGATCGCAGATCTAATGGTGCGATCACGATGATTAGAAAGGAGGAAGAAACAAGAATTATGGGAGCGATCGAATGGAAATGAGAAGAAAGTATATTGAGAGATCGCGCTATGGAACAAACCAAAGAGATTACTCGCGATCGAAGAATTGACCAATCAAGCGAGGAAGTGACGACCCAGGGTGAGCTGCGATCGAAGGACGAAACTGGGTCCTCCAACGCTCGGTGGCATGATCGATCGACAAAGCAGTGATCAAGTTAGGTATGTTGGTCCGGTTCGCAGAAAGGCCGGGATACCACACTCTAGCCTCATCCGGACGTGGAAAGTGCAAGAACATGGGGTCCAATAAAATGTCCAAATCGCAGAGACCGTCGATCATGCCTTGAAGAATCAGCTGCAGTACTCGTTTCCAACGGGGCCCAGCGCGAGATCGTCTCTGCCTTCTTGCACGCGCAAATGCTTCCAATCCAGGGTCCGTTCTACGTTGCTCAGAAGATATCCACAAGAAATGGGTTGATTCCCACAGATCTTGGCGATGACTATCCACAAAGCGGCTATAGGCTTCGACCAATTTTTCGAACCAGCCGGAAGTTTTGAAGGAGATCGGGGGTATGACTTGATCATAAATGTCCCACGGTTGTTGATCGTAAAATTGATCAATCTTGGCCGACGTGATCAAATGGGATGACCAAGACGACTCCGGAGGAGGGTGAGCTTTGCCGAGCCGGACTGGAAAGATGTACCCTTTCGGTTTGGAAAAGTGGCGATAGAACAAATCTATGTCCAACTCGGATACGCTGATCAAGCTCACTCTTCGGGCGGACCAAGGGAACACATTAACCGCCGATCGTGAAACCCGATCGCGATACCCCGGAATCCAACGATCGCGGGGTATGCGGGTGTCGGAAAGCGCCACGAAATCTGCAGGTGTCAACAAGGAATTCCGGGGACTCCGAGGATCACCATAGAGACTGAGATCGCTTTCGGAGTCGCTGGAAGGCTCTCCGAATAAATCCACCAAAGACACTCCCGATGTATTATTGAGGTTCATGTTCCGGACTGGAGGAATCGACATTCACCGGTGGAGGGGTCGGAGTAGACGATGGTTTCTTAGGGGACGACGTGTTTCTACGACGGGCAGTCGAACGAGATGACGACAACGCCGCCAACAAGGAATCATCGGTCTCATCGGAAGACGAGTCCTTTGGATCGCTGTCCTCAGATGATTCCGACGATGACGATCTTGAATCAAACGGATCGGGAGAAGCCGATCGACGTGGCGAGGATCCGATATATCGGGCACGCTGGCTTGGGATTCCCTGGACGAGGGAAGCAGGATGCGATCGCTTAGGTTGACGTGGAAAATTCTTCGGGGAAGACTCGGCAGGTGCAGGCAGAACACTTGGAGAAACACTGGCGACCACCTCTGTCAAGCGAGCGAAGAGCGAATTTTTCGACTGGAGTGCCTGATCGCGCTCTACCTCCAATGCACTTATTTTCTGGGAGAATCGGCCACGATCGGCATCTCGATCGGCGAGCTCAGACTTAAGCCGATCGTGCTGACTCTTGAGATCCGAAAGTTGGGCCGTGAGGCGATCGCGCTCAGTCTTGACTGTACCCAAGTCTCGTTGGGTCATGGCCAACTCCCGCATTATCGCTGATTGGCGGGTAGCAAATCGAGTCTTCGCCTCTTCGATCTGGATTTTCGCCAGGTCGTCAGCCTCCTTAAGGGAGGCAATCGCTGATTGTAACTCGTTTTCAAGTGAAGCCAGTTGACGCCGATGCTTCTCTTGTTCGGCATGGCGGGTCTTTTTAAGCTACAAGATGGAAGACTTCAGGATCGGAATTTCCTGTAGACGTTCCGCTTGAACAGCCAATTCCTCTTGGAAGTCATCGTTCTTCTTCTCGGCATCGGCCAACGAGTTACGCAACGCGTTGTACCGCTCGTTCACATATTGCCGGATCGGTCTTGCTAATTCTTGAACGTCGTGCAGTTGGCGTTCCAAGCGAGCGCCGCGAATTTCCTGAGCTCTCAACTGATCGTGTATTGCACAATAGCTGGCTAGCTGGTCTTGACCAGCCTCAGCGCAGTCGTACAGATCGTTGATATACGATTGTAAAGTGTGCCGATCGATCGCAGGAAGGACGTTCACGAGACCACTCGGGAACGACGACGAAGAACGCAAAGGGATCGCAGCTGGTGGCGAGGAGCTTGGAATTTCCACCGGATCCGGGCGAGCGATCAACCGATCGTCAGAGTCGTCCATGAAGAATAACGCGTATAGCCGGAAATGTGGATATGGAGATTACTTCAGACGAGTGCACCGATATACCAACACTGTATGTCGGCTACCAGTTCAGGGGACGGCTTTGGTAAAGCAGGCCAAGACAATTTGGGCGATCGTTGCTGCGGCAAAGCGGATCGAAACAATGGAGGAGATCGTTGTGTGGAGTGATCGCAAATCACGACAAATCGCTGAGACGGAATGATTGGCTGTTAAGTTGCGGGATGTCGAGATCGAAAATCACAACAGCGAGATCGATTATCACGACAACGAGATCGAATATCACAATAAGGGGATCGAATTTCACAATAGAGGGATCGAATATAACAATAACCAGATCGAAAATCACAACTAGGCGATCGGCGATCGGGGAGATCAGCGATCGACCAAAGTGATCGACCAAGGTGATCGACGAAGGTGATCAGCGATCGGCCAAGGTGATCGACGATCGATCGAGTGATCGAAGATCGATCGAGTGATCGACGATTGGGATGATCAGCGATCGGCCAAGGTGATCGACCAAAGTGATCGACGATCTGGATGATCAGCGATCGGTCAAGTGATTGACGATTGGGAAGATCAGCGAGCGGCCAAGGTGATCGACGAGCGATCAGGGTGTGGACCACATATGCTAAAGGACGATCAACGAAAGGTAGAAGACACATGGCGGCATATCCTGGCATACAGACAGGCATACTCGCAGTTTTTAGATTTTGGTTGGTGGACATTAAACAGAATTCTTTTTACTTCTAAGTACACGTGTCAACTTCTCTTCCGGGCTGGAATATTGGCCTCCCGACGTCAAGAAAGTTTCGTATACTTTAATCAAGTGATATCCCCAGATAATTGGCTGGGGATCAAGAACTCTCAAAACAACCCCAACTGCGATCGGACGCAGCTAGAATGCAAAGGACAAGGCGCAAGATCGCGAGACGGCTCAAGTGGTCAGAAGGCTCGCATCAAGCAACAACATATTGGACAAGGCGATCTCTTAGAGATCTAAGTGGCTTACATCAAGTAGCCTACAAGTACTACCGTGATCGCGTGAAGATTTCCGCCCGATCACAAACCCCATTCCAAACACGGTCAAGTTTTCTCTCGAAGCGAGTCCACCGAGAAGAGTGCAGCCCGCCCTAGCGACGGGTACACAAGGTGAGGAAGGAAATACAAGACACGGAAACGGAGTACCCCCTCCGATAGTCGGTCGTCTGGGCACCAGTGGAGAGTCGAGATCGCCTCATAAAATGAGCGATCGCCGCTCCACCACACTGCCTCAATTAAATTACACTGTTTTGCTCAAACAAAACGTCACATAAGAGGCCGTGTGATCAATGATTATATACAATGGGCTAAAATGATGGATGTAAACATTAGGTTTTGTTTTTAGCATTTGTTGTGTTAACGCTACTCCGTCGGTCTATGCGCTTCCCCGTGTCATGCACTTTTCGAAGTCAACAGTAAATTTTGACCTTTATGTGCATTTATCATCTTTCTGCGTGCCGGATCAGTTATTTTAAAATGTTACCTCTACATAAATAGCGCCAACATTGTCTGGCCACCACATAATAGTTTGCGTTAATTTGACCGGTCTCCTTGATCTCCGATGGCATCACACTTTAGTAAGTTAATGATGCTATGGGCATCAGTGACCCATTCTGTTATAATGCCATGTTATTGCATGGTACACCTTATAAATATTTAACCCAGAATATGCCTCATCTTGAACATAAGATAAATTATCTTAGTCAAAAGGAAGATCGGAAAACATTCTTATCTGCATTGATATAAAAAGAACTTTTTAGGCATAAAGATTAATTACAAACTCGTATAGGACGATATTTATGCCATTTTCACCAGCAGTTGATGATAAGGTTTTTCTAAGTTAGTAGATGTCAATATATGTTTAACATTTAACCCCTCTTATTCGGTCGGAATTTCGAGAAATTCTATGCTGGCTATTGTGTTTCCTTTAAATTTAAACAAGATTAAAACAAAACTTTTTGAAATGCAAAAAACTCATTTTAAATAAGTTGAATTGAACCAAATATTTGTTTAAAAATGGGAATGGGGCCGAAACGGCGTTCACAGTTCAGTATTTATTATTATTATTATTATTATTCATCTCGTTGTTGCCGTTCATAAAAGGTCGAGAACATTATGAGGTGGCAACACATCGCGCAGCTGCCTCGCATAAAAATCCTGTTATGCCAGCTCCAAAACTTTGGGCAGCAGATCGACATGATAAATGTCGTCTTTTGAATCGTCTGCTACACCATTGCCTTACTGGCGTCGCACCGCCAATAACATCTCGTTGTCAACCAGGCCAGTGTCGACTTGCGCAGCACTGTTTCACAGATCAGCGATAAAGTATTCGAATGGCTAGGGATTTGGAGGCAGGACATGCCTCAAATTCGCGCTGTTGTAAGCAACCTTAACTTGACGTTTGACCTTACCGCTTTCAATACATATGCGCACCGATGTGTGGAATTGCCTGCTGGTCTATTTTTCGCGCTCGAACTCGGCCACTGGGCCCGGCGCACAGTACATGCGGCCGAGAGTTAAGGTGAGCAGAGGACAGCGCACCTCGGTTTGAACTTGGAATAAGGCAACAGGTAAGTAATTACCGCGACGTCCTACTATATCACGGCTTCCTGGTGCACGCAGAAGTCGAGTACTGGCCGAGGAGTCCAGCGCATATCAGGTCATCGAGCCGAAAGACCATCGGGACGAATTCCGTGCAACACGGCGGGCGCAGGTTGCCCGTGCCAAGCCCAATGAAGAGCGTCCCATGGTAGCGCATCAAATTCAGTCAAAATCTGAGCATGAGGGTCCGCAGAAGATTGTTAACGCGTAGACGGGAATATACACGTGCATTTAGCAGTTAAGCAGTCTCTGGATGGCACGCTCGCGCTGGCAGTTGTAGTCGGGATTTACATCATTCAGGTGGTCCGGCATGTAGAGGAAGCATGCGTAGGAGGTCGGCACTTTCGCTGAGTTGGAATCTAGCATGCCGATGCACTTGCAAAGCGGGTCAACAGTTCCGCAAGGAGGGCAAAGCCTTTCTAGAACAAATTCGTCTTGCGTGATCTCAGCTACGGCAGAAAGTGGCGAGGACGACGAGTCGATACCGAGCTGCTCTTTCTCGGTTTCATGCTGGCAATGATATCTCGGACATGTGCTCCATGACAGTTCGGAGACGCTGGAACATGTATTTACGCTGATCCAACGAAATTGAGAGACCAGAATAATGACCAGCGCCACACCAATCACTCTCTTGCAGATGACAAATAAAATTTTGCTGAAAATTCTTTGGTATGTTTACCGCCTTAGGCCGGATAGTGGACTGTTCGAAACGTTCTAAACGGCTTCAATTTAGCAAGACCTCGACCAAGTTGTTAATGGGTGAGCGACGGATCCGTAATATGAATTGACCACATCCTCCTTAACGAGTTTGGCGAGCAGGCAACGCATCACGTTGATCAAATCCGATCTGAACTCTTTCACGACCGTTTAACCAGTTGAGCGGTTTAACTGTTGGTCGATCCCATTTATCATTACCAGCAAATCATCTGGGCACTCCTTCTTGATGTCCGCCCTCACGTACTCTACAAACCAATGCCTGGGCGTGTGCGCGATTGTATTTGACTTGGACGACGACAGAACATTATTCGCGCAGTCCATGCTCAAGGCCTTCACCGTGCGCAGGCCCTAAAACGCCAGCTAAATGCACTTATCCTGTGGTTCGATGACAAGGTGATTGCCAATAGATTTAGGGATGGCGAAATCCAACAAGGGACGACGTAAGAGAAAAAATTACATCCACAAAGGTTGGTTGACATTTTTACCGTCGTATCAGTCTCCTTGATCGCGTTCACAAAGAGAGTAACACCCCTTCCTTTTTCTTGTGTGACCACGGCGGGTACACGTTAGCGCCGAATAGGTTAGCGACTGACTTTTCGCTGATGCAGGGAAGTGGTGCAATTATTGGACTGTTGTATAGGATTAAATAGCTATTGAACGATCGGCAAGTAGCTAACCGTGTATGGCCATTTCTTTCCATCTCTTGCAGTTGCTCTGATGCGTTCTCATGTTCGTAGTTGTGGCGGAAGCATTCGAAGCGCAGTGGTGCACGCGACACGTAGGACGTAATGCTTACCGTTGTTCTCAACGTATCGAACTTGGCCCACATAACACCGCGACTACGTCTCTGGGGTGCTATCTTGAAGCGCGCGGGCGTGGCGCTTGACGTTAAATTCACACCACTTACAGTAATTTTATATTCTTCTGTTATCTAAATCATTTTGTCTCTTAAAAGTCCGCATTCATCGAGTTTCATTTAAAACGTTTGCATATTAGTTGCACAATATGAATAACTCTCTTCCTCTTCAAAATACGCGTAATAACGGATGTAGATTCCTCTTGTATCCACGGATAGTCCAACCTGTCTTGCGCATTTTAAAGACCGCTTCAAGTCAAATAGAATGTAATTAATAAGGAAAGAACATAAAACTTAAAAATCAGAAAAAGTAAAGAGCAAAGAGGAGACTCTCGAAATACCAATTTTATCTTAAACAACACTTTGTTCCTATCCACGTCTGGATTACAAAGGCCATGTAAGTATACATTAATTATTCAATACCAGCAGAAGTTAAGCGAAAAGACACCTTTATGATTCCTTGTTACTTCACCGACATCATTCACTATCATCAATATGATGAATACTTACTTGAGCCCTCGATGATTCATTGCCAGCATTTATCACTTTCAATATGATGAGAATTCCCATCACGACCTCTGATAAAGCGTACCCAGGTACTGTGTCCAAAAAAATCTATCTGCAGCTGCATGGAGCTTAGAAAAATTTATACCGGCTGGTCCATTCAGCAGTCATAGTAATGCCGTAGAGACAGCCAGAGTCTACGCCGCACTTCAAGTCTACGCCGTAAGCATCGAACGTAATGGTGTGTATGATTTTAGGTACTATTTCCTTTGCTGTGTGCAAGGATAGCACTATGAAGATAATGACACAGCCAGACCATTGCATTAGAATACAGCAGATCCAAAAGGGATTTACTTGTACGAGCCTGCGATATTTTTAACAAGCACACATTAGAAAGGGAGCGCCTGGTCTGCCCTTACTATACAATTTTTACAACATCCAGAAACGATGCACTGATAAATTCACTCTTTCTTCTCTTCATTCCGCGCGTCTAGCAACGAGCGAAGGAACAGATTTTGATGCTAAGTTTATCTGGATGTAAAAAAGGTGGAGCAGCTCCACAGATCAAGTAAATAAAATTATATTTAACCAATTTAAGAGGAAGGAAATCCTCGTTAACAGAAATGATATCCACAACATCTTGTAAAAGGCCCACATTTGAGTACTGAGCGGCTAAACGCACACAAAGATGTTGATGCAGCATATGGAAGACCAATATGTTAACGCTACTAACACTACTGGTGGATGGAGAAATCACATCTGGCAAGTATTCCGGCATCCAGAATTGTCGAAGAATTTTACCACCGCCATCAAGAAGTCTTTGGCTATAGACTTTGCTATGAAAAGAATTCGTGCAGTCTCCCACTTCTCCGATGAATTTACATGTGCTCACCAACAATTTTTTTATTGCGGATGTAGGATTTATCGACGGCAGATCATTGATCGATGATGAGTAGATGATAAAACTGATTTATAGAACTCTATCAAGTATCAAAAGATCTTGTCATCGATAGCAATATTAATATAATTATGTCTACAAAGTGTCCAAGCGCATTCATTATCATTTGCAGTTTATCTATAGCGAAGCAGTAACTTTTACTGCCGTAAAAGAAAGCTGGAAATCATTTATTGGCAACCAGAATGCTGTTGTCCATACTCCTACATGGTTTTAATTTTGGAGCTTTGAAAAAAACTAGAAGCCATTGCAGTAAATGTTTCCGTCTTACGTTTTTATATTTATCAAATTAAACGCCGATTGAATTTCTATATTTTTATTCAGAACTACAAGAATGTAGCAAATTTAGATAAGAACATTTTTCTTTACGGCATCACTGGGCATCTATTAGCATTGGTCAAATTAAACATCATGGACACGTAGTAACCAGTCGAGTTGAGGGAGCAAAACACAAAAACATCAGAAGTTGGTTCAACAGTGCGAGCGGCACACTTCTCGATTTTGCAAGAGCATTTCAGTGGAATTGCATAAAACACAAGAATAGTGAGCGAATAGATGCAAATTGAAGATATCTACGAACCTGCCCAACGAATATTTTCGAAGCTGCACCAAACATACCGTGCTATAACATGTCTTTAATGAAAAGAAGAAGTATCTGCTGGCTCTTCATCGGTCTACCCATGAAGCTGCATCAGATACTGCGCGAGAGTACATGACAATCTGCGTCCATGTTATCCGCAGTCATATTGGCACAATTTATTATAGTGCGTTTACCAAGTAATCGCTGGTGTACCAGTTGACGAAGCGTTTGGCCCTACCGACCGCTAAAAGCGCGATCTGTCCCAACTCACTTACGACCGTAAATGATGTAAAGAGATGCGCCGGAATCTGTTCCTCAATCCAGTCTTGTGAAAATTGTGTGTTTAAGTAGCGCTGATTAAAAGACCTGTTTAGTATCGGCTGAAGCTGTAATGTTCATTTCGATCGTAATGCTGCAGTCTTCCGTCGAATCGGGCTAGACTATATCACTGTAAACCCATTATACGTGTGGCATCGGACCTCTTCAAGCCCAACGCCAAGTTCAATCGTCGTACTCGGGAAGCTGTGAGCGCCGATGCAACGGTGTTGAATATGTACACTATCGAGTACGTGGGAAGGTTCATCTCCATTCGACACTTGACTGATAAAAAGTGAACCGGAGCCTGCGCCACAGGACAAGCTCTAGAGCTATGTATGAGGCAGTTGTTGTTGTCGCATCTGCTTCGAAGCAACAGACGTTTTGGCACGAGCATCGCATCGCCGAAGAAAACGATAAACGTGAGAATCAGATGGAGGAGAGCTGGTGGCACTATCACCGCATTAAACGGGTGATTTCTGGACGGTTTCTTGTGCGGATGGTATGACGATTGCTTCATGTGTGACAATGATGGGAACAAACGCAAAAACGCGCTGGAAGCACTGCAGTGCAATATGGACGTAGAAGGCTATGGAAATGAATGTGCCTCGGACAGCGACAGTGATGTCGCCAGAACTGGGGCAGCGGAGGGCATGGAAATTATGTTGAACGACGTGGACGTTTACGCGTCAATCTAGATGCTATATCTACACTCGCATGCAACGGTATTGGGCTAATGGGGCACCATGACGGCATGATTGGATGCGTTCACGACGCTTCCTCTAGTATGCAGTTAGATAAATCAACGTGGCCACTTCTGATCACACACGCTGCTGTACAATGCGGCATTCGCTGACACAATCGGTGTGGATTTCACACTTCGTGTACTTGTTCTTGCTTGGAAGTGCTAGCACCAAATGTAACGTGCTTATCGACCTGCAAAGTCGTAATCAAGATCTGACATTTGCGAGGGGTTAGCTACCTTCTACGCTGAAAAAAAAACATGTTCGACTTGACTAAAATCGCCTTACCATTGCCAAATGATAGGTCCCACAAGTCAAGATCTATCACGCGTTCGTATCTCTCCATCCTTAAAGCCATCAAACTGCCACATAGTCAGTCGCACTCGTATATTTGATCCCGACCAAGAGTAGATCTTCAACGTAAATCAGCAAATGTGACGCCTGTCATCATCGCGGTTCTATCGGAAAACAGGGGACGGCACTTACTGCCCATCACATCGCTCACTTTTAGGTGGTTACCCTATCGCAAGTAGGAACGTACATTCCGATCGAAAAGCTATTGATGCCCGCTGCGCGACACGCACACATTGCGCTGATCCACTAAAAATGTGACGAATGTTTCTGTGCCTTGACCTTCCCATGAGTTTTATACATTGCACTATTCGAACTGCCGCTTGAGCTCAAATCATCGCTCCGTTCTTTGAACGGTGTAGAAACAGCGAAAAAAACGGGTTGCGATTACGAGACTGGCCATCAACACGACGTAATGCTGTCTACACCATAGCAAGAGCTAAAGCTCGACCGGACAATGTGTTCTTAATCAACGACAATTCGTCTATCTGTGCGCAACCTGACACCAGTTGCTCGGTGAGGACCCAGTGCTCAAGCAACGCAGCGTTACGGCTACAACTGGTCCGGTGTGATCGGATGCTGCAACGGTATCACCGATTTCTTGTGGACGTCACGAGGAAGCGCTTTTCTCATGTCTGATACACACAAGAGCATTTCGTCAGATCTGTTAGCAGCCAAATAGCTCCCTCCCTTCTTTTACCAAAAGCGTCCTCTCCATCCTGTGCGCTTGAGTAGTACCCTAGCACACGCCTATACACTGAATAGCCAAACTTCTCGTACATCCCGATCGCCAGCGAATTGGAAACGCGCACGAACAAGTCCACAAAGTAGCCGTCGTACAGCTCCACGGACACGTTCTCCAAGTAGTCCATGAGTTTCTTGGCCAGCCCGAGCCGTCGAAACTCCGGCGCGACCGTCACTGCTGTCACATGTCCGTGCCAATCCGTCCCTTGTCCTTCAGCTTTGCCCATGACTGTACACAGGAGCACAAAAATAGAGCAGCAGATAATTAGCGCTACATGGCAATTCGCAAGCCATCAGAACGAGAGTCCAATACGGGTGAAAAGTATACGTGTGTTTCCATACTGTAGCCCATAATCGTGTCATTCGGGTCTTCTTGAACCAGGAAATAGTCCGGCCACTTGGACAGATACTGGAGGTAAAACGACAAGTTGTACTGAAATAAAAAGACAATCACACAGAACACACTCCTTCAATTGACGTAACGAATTACGATACTATAAGGTTCTCACATCAAAGTCAAGCGCCGTACCGTCTCCGTCAGCACGTCTAAATTGACGTTGTTGAAGCGGAACAAGTCGTCGCAGCAGAACTTGCGCGTGGATGTCATTGGCGCTGGGCAGGGCAGAAATGGTCATAACAAAAACCTTCATTGTTACCGTGCTTATCGGTATTTATCCAAATACCGGTACGCCTACCAGCGCACAAGCGATTTCGATGGACGACAACGAGTTGTACGTACCTCGGTCGTACTACTACCTCCTGCACGCTGCGTCCGACCAGGAACATTCCTTGGGCCTTGAAGTGCGCGAGTCGAACATTCCAAGAGCGGGGAAGGGACTGTTCGCGACGAAACGCCATTCAAAAGGGTCCGTCATTTGCGAGTACACGGGAGTGGTGCTCCACAGCCAGGAAGCCGCGTGGAAGCTCAAGGACAAGTCGTACCTCATGAAGCTGGGCGACAGCAAGTACGTGGACACGTTGCATTGCCCGCACGTTCTTGCCCGGTACATCAACGACTGCAGAGGGCGTTTCGGAGGCTTCAACGTGCACTTTGACAAGCGGCCAGACGACAACAAGGCCAATGTTGTTGCCATGCGAGACATTGAGCCAGGAGAAGAGCTGTACGTCAATTACGGGCGGCTCTACTGGCTCGCCTACAACATGATGCATCCAAGCAATCCCGTGCGGTAATTATTGGAGCAAGTGTGGACTAGCGTCGTGCCATTTGCTCCATTGAGTGATGCAGCGAGTCGAGTACGAGCGACTTGGACATTAGTACTCGCGTAGAGAGGCCGAGATGGCGGCTGCTACATCCTCTTCACTAGAGCTGCGAGGCTTGATTGAGTAGCCGGCTTGACGTCTGGAGGAGCTCATGCCACTCGACAGTGACAGATTTGCGCCCTGCGGACAACGAGAGCAACAGATTGACAGCGTTATCATTATCGTACTTCTTTCAACTTCAACTTAAACGTTTCGCCTCTACTAGTGTACCTGTCGGACAAGCTCATCGTCTGACCCGTCCTGTGTGCCCTCTGCAACAGCTACCTTCTCTTCCTCCTCAGCCTTTTGCTTCGCAGCGAGTTCGGCCTCTGCGATCTCCAAGAAAACACGCTCGCGACTAAAGTCGTAGTCAAACACCTCCTGCAGACAAACTCCGTTATTTTTAAGCTACAGATTGCTCCCCACGCGGTACGAACAGTACCCTTTGCAGCAGATTTTCACTCAGTGTTGGCATCATGGGTGCAGTCGTGTAGATCGAATTGAGCTTGATTTTTGTATGCTGCATGCATCCACGAATGATGAGACTTAGTGAGCTGCTGTCCTAGACTTACAGTGACATAGTAATCAGAAGAAATGCTGCACAAACCACCTTCAGAATCGATGTAGGACTGCCGGCGTGCACTGGGGACGAAGCCATTTCGCTACCGTCAATTGGAGTCTCGAAGCTGTTTGATAGTAGCGTAGCACCACTCACAAATCAGTATCCGTCCGTGTCATGTTTGCAAGCGCAGCGAACACCCAGGAACACCCACTTCCTGTTACGCTTGGCTTCTTTTTTATTGTCCGGCTCTGCAATTGTTCTTTTATCATACATCGTTGCACGATCGGTATGTGCAGGCACGTTAGACCGTAAGTTTTTGGGCGACGCTATTCCGTACTTTGAATTTTGCTGTCCGTACTGCAAATGGCGTCAAACGTTTTACGAACAGCTTATTAGCTTAATAGTTAAATTTATCTGTATTATGCTACATATAGAAGGCCAGAGGTGCATAGATTAAAGAGCTTCCGTTGACTGGATTTAGCTCCTTGTATATTATTCTTTTCCACTAGCTTTACATGACTCGTATTGTGAAGCTGACTACATCACATGCATTTGTTATCGTCCTTTTGTTTAAAATTCCGACAAGCGGTACAGGCATTGCGCGCACTGACCTGGAGTATACTGTACAAGGCAACAACTCCCGTTTACACTGAAACTAACACTAGCAGATAGAAGTGTCTGCTGGCGACTCAAGCCAAATAGTCAGCCCCAAAACTAGAGACACCCATGGCAATGAAAATCACGACGAAGAATGTGGGAAGATTTATGATGAAGTAGGAAAGCTTGATCTCAATAACGACGACCCCACAGGCAACAAATTGCAAATCGACTTTGAATTTGGCGGTTGTACAACCCATTTCAAATAAAAGAGTTTGACACTCTTTAAGGAACTTGTGTCGTGTTGATGTTACTGAGGACGCCCACAAGGGCAACGACTTCGCCACTGGACAGCAAGTAGACGAGCAGCTGGCCCAGGAGCGTCTGCATGAGCACGGAGAGGGCGAAGTTGGTCCAGTCGAGCACAGCCGTGTTGAAGGACCAGATGCCGAGGAGAGGGAAGAAGACGATGATGAAGAGGAGACTGCTGCCAAAGACGTAGGGGATCTCGACGAACATGATGCCGAGGAAGTACTAAAAAGGTTTGTACGTCTGCGTGTCGCGCTCGCGGTAGTAGACGGCTCGTTCCCGCAGGGTGAAGGTCAGACAAGCAACGTACGTCACGTATCCTTGATACAGTGTTGTCATGAAAATGATACCCACGGCTGAGTTCAGCCCTTGGTACGTTTGTAGTCGGCGTTGACGAGCACGGGGCCAAGATGATGGCCAGGATAATTTTGCGTGTGCCAACACCTAGTCAAGTTGTACGATGGTGTTCGTCAGTACATTGACTGAAATTGCTGCATGATCAATCAGAGTTGCATCCAGGAGGTAGCAGCTCGCTTGTACTGGAACACTAGCTTCGGTAGACTATCGGGTGCAGGTGTCTTCACACCAGGTTCAGCTAGGCGAGCGAGCAACACTTGGTGCTTTAGAGATAGATTGGGATATTGGTAATCTTCCAGTTGGAGATGTTCAACCCGTCCGTAAGGCTCAGCACTAAATCCAGTCCACGGAAGCTCTTTAATCTCCGCACCTCTGGCCTTCTATGCATAGCAAAATAAAGATAAAATTAACTATTAAGCTAATTAGCTGCTCGTAAAAACGTTTGACGGCGTTTGTAGTACGGAATAGCAAAATTCAAAGTACGGAATAGCCTCTCCCAATTTAAAAGTCCGGCATTTAAAAATCTTGCGCAACCTCACAAATAGCTTCACCCTTCGGGCTCGCAATTATGGCCTAAAAGCGCAAGCCAACTCTATTCGTGCAAGCTCAGGCATGATCGCGATGATGTACTGACAAGACCGACCTACGTCTTTTATTTTAGCAACACAGCGTCACTCGTCTGCGTCGATATTGTCTCTTTCAACTCCCACCGCGGTTCCTCAACAAGGCATTTGTTCACTTAGCGTCGCTTAATCCCGACCAGATCTAGCTTCTCGGTGACTTTGCCGCTCTTCCATGGCCATCCAGAGCCCACGCGACCCTTGACGTCCTCCGTACCATCGCCCTTTTCCGATGACAATTCCACCCACATGTCAGACGTGACGGTTTCTGCAGCTCCCCCTTTTTGCTTGGCAGCCACCGCATCACCTCCCTCCCGAATCCGCTCATCTCGTTGCTGCGCCATTGCAGTGTCTACCGAGTCACTCACCATCTTCATTTGATCGCGCGCTTGTCGCAGCAAAAGACTCACATGCTGCTCGTCCTCCTCGTCGCGACAGGCGTCAAAGCCAGCGCGAATCTGACGACGCACGTCCAGTTGCACTTCAGTAGCCAGTGGCTTTGAAATGCGGAGAAACTCTCGGTACAGCTTCAGTACCGCAGTTCGGTTCAAGAAAAACTGCAGCGACTTTATCTCGGGTCCTAGCGCCCGCCTGGTGACGCCCATTGTCGGACGGGTCCACACTTTGATACTCAAGCTATCGAGAAAGTTGTGGTTTCGTAATGTTATATTTTGTGGAAAGTGTCATTCACTTTAAGTATCGAAAGGCAGCAAAGATAATCGACAAATTTCTCGTTACTTTCATTTTTACAGATCAAAAATAGTCTTCGCGGGTGATACGCTACGCTGCAAGCACGTGCTTATATTATGCACTGCAGAGAAAGAGTTCATCATGCCGGAAGGCATAAGTAGCTGTCCCGGTCTTCGTCTTGTAACGTTGCGCATTAGCTTTGAATTCCTCTTGATTACAGGACGATGAGTAGTTGCATGCTGATCTACACATGGAGCTGCCCACTTGTGTCCCTTTTTGCAACCGCTTGCAAAAGGTGACAAGGCGGTATTCACGACCAAGCACACAATTTGTGCGGCCTTTTTGTGATTTACAATGGAAGTCAGTCGCAAGCAAGATAGGATCCTGTTTACCGTACGATGAGCGCTTCATAATCGCCATGGACCTGAGGGTGAGCGCTCTCGGTAGCACAAGAGGGTTATCTGTCTCGGTCTCTAGCAGCACTCGTGCAGAAAGCATTTTTAACTCGGTATGCAAACACACAGCTCATTACCGTTTGGTGTCATTGGGTTCTACTTCGTGGGGAGAAGTGCTAGCCTACCAGAAGTTGCGTGCCGTGGGTTTGTTTCCCTTTGCCAAAGCACAACATCAGCTCGTCCAGATGCAAACAAATGCGCAACATGCACCTTCGCCTCATCCGAACGTAGCCGACACGACGCTAGTCGTGCTGCATGACACCTTATAATCTGCAGCGACATCTCCACATTCGAACCTATTACGCTGCAGCTGCGAATTGCCTACTGGAAACGTGGTAACAACTCTGCGATGGGTAAACTAGACAGTTTGATGCCATGAATACCCCAGATGGGGACTCAGACGACTGTCAACTCGTGCACATGTAAGCTTTTAATCAAGATCAACGGGACAAATATTATCGACGTTTAGCGCTAATAATCGATGTAAGCTGTGATTGTCGACAATCTCTTGGATTCTCGCACGGCCTCTAATCAGATTGATGGCAGACTATCCTGATGATAGCTTGCGTGGCGATTCAATTGTTTGACTATCAGTTGCCCCATGTCTATGTCTTTCTGGATATTAGAGCAAAGTAGGTCGCCATGACGGACCCCATGAAGCACTTAAGTGTCTAAGTGCAGCCGATAGCGTATCATAAATTGACTTACAAAACCGCATGCAAGCGTATTAGGCTTCACGACTTCTTACGGCAATCGAGTTAAATTTCAGCGACAATTTTTCTGTCTTACGGACATTCATTATCAGCTGTCATGCTTGTGTAAACATAAATCACAGAACATTGCGTCGCAACCATGACATGTGCAGTCCTTGCCCCGTTAAACCGTTGTCACGTCGCGTGGAAGCCATTGGTTTTTGTGGCGCCGGCTTTCTGGATGACAGCAACCAGTTTACTAACTTTTCTACACACAGAAGCTATGCAGCGCAGAGCGGTGGACAATATCCACAACCTACTTTACGTCACTTTCCCGCACAGCACCAGTTGACGAGTACCCAAATGTCATCGTATAGGTGAGAATCGTAATCAGTGGATAGTCCAACTTGTTATTGTCATACCAAGGAAAAGAGATCCGCGAGAGGCCAGGAACCGTTGCAATGACTTCGGTGCTTTATGCATGTAACGAGGTAGTCTACAGCAGGTAGTTCAGGAGAGAGGACGCGATTATCATTGCGTCATCGTCACCATTTTCAGTACCAGGCGACATCGAAACCAATCGCCTGGTTGTGCCCGATCTGCAGCATTCCATCTGGAATCGGTATCTTTACGTCGAAGAGACGTGTGACGGTTTTATGATTGCCTGTCTCAGCGTAGAGAGACCAGTGGGCTCCCGATTGAGTAAGCAGCCGCTGGCAATTGACGAATAGCTGCCACGTGCTATGACAGTGTGAGCCGTCCACCTCAAGTCAATAGCGCGAATTCGCAGCGTACTTAACGAATACACCACGCGCATCGTGCAAAACTTGCAGCTCGGGACCATTTCACTTTGTGCAACGTCACAGTCGAGTGGAGTCGAGTCGATCCGTCCCGTTTACGTCTCGCTCGTGTTCCGCCTATTCGTCGCTAGAGTCTCCACTAAAGTATCAATGGTCTCATGCGTCAGTGACGAGGGCGATTACAGTCTTCAAGTACCTTCCTCATCATATGCGGAGGTCCTATCGCCTCGCCTGCCGAGCTCCGGGACCAGATCTCGGGCTGTCAACATGCGTCGACGTAAACTCGAGATCGAGATCGTCGAAGGCGCTCGCATGGGTCCGACGTGGCAGTTTCCAGGCGCTGGCTCGTCCGAGTACGTGCAAGTGCCGCCTCGTGAGCTGCACGCGATTCAGGAGGAGCTCAACAAGCCCAAGAAGCTGCTGGGAGAGCTCCCAGCCACTGCCATCTCCGGCAACGACATCCTGTCGAGTGTCCTGTACTCGGCGTCGTCTGTGGCTGCCAAGTCGGGCAAACTCATGCCAATTCCGCTGCTTATCGTGTCCATTGTGCTCTATTTCTTTCGCTTCATCTATGAAGAGGTCGTGACTGCTATTCCCATGAACGGGGGTACGTACAACGCCCTACTAAACACGACGTCCAAGCGTTCAGCAGCTGTGGCTGCATGTCTCAGCATCCTGTCATACGTTGCTACTGGAGTCGTCTCGGCGACGTCCGGTATCCGGTATCTGAACAACCAAGTGGCGATTCCGATCATTGGATCGACGATCGTTTTACTAGGAGCGTTTGCGCTTTTAGCAGTGATGGGCATCACCGAAAGCTCTCGCGTGGCTGTCGCGATCTTTTTGCATCATATCGTAGTCCTCTTGATCCTCTTTGTGGCGTGCATCATCTATTGGTTCAATCACCCGCATGTCTTCAGCAACAACTTGCACGCAGGATACCCAGAGGTGGACTTTGCAGGATCGATGCTTGACGGCAACATCGTGACTGCGATTTTCTTCGGCTTTGGCGCGTCGATGCTGGGTATCACCGGCTTTGAGTCGTCGTCAAATTACGTGGAGGAACAAGCTCCGGGGGTCTTCCGCAAGACGCTGCGCAACATGTGGGCCCTCGTCACGTTCTTCAATGTCGGACTAAGTACTGCGATTCTGGCTGTGCTGCCACTCGAAGGTGATAATGGAATTTACAAGAACTCGTCGGATCTTCTCGCGATGGTGAGCCGAGAAGCAGTGGGAAGCTGGTTCGAGACGTGGATCAGCATCGACGCTTTTATCGTGCTCAGTGGTGCGGTGTTGACCTCGTACGTGGGTATTTGCGGTCTTGTTCGCCGTCTATCAACGGACCGGGTGCTACCTGCGTTCTTGGCAACGACGAACAAGGCTCGTGGTACAAGCCACTACATTATCGGCATCTACTTTCTCTTGTCGTCGAGTCTCGTGCTCATATTGAATGCCGACGCGAGTACTATGAATGGTGTGTACACTTACTCGTTCCTAGGACTCATGGCGATGTTCTCTTGCGCTTGCATGCTACTAAAGGGCAAGCGATCAGAGATCCCGCGTGACATTCACGCGCCATGGACTAGCGTGATCGTTGGCTTCCTGCTGGTGGTGGTGGCCATCTTTGCGAATCTCTTGGGTGATCCCAACATCTTGATGTACTTTGCCGTCTACTTCATTGTCGTGATCTCTGCCATGCTTATCATGTTCGAGCGTGTCACGATCTTACGCTTTGCTCTGATGATGTTGAAGACGATGTTTCCCTCGCACTACGGCAAAGCTGTTGCAGTTGGTCTCGCGACGGACAATACGGACGAGTGGGAGCACACTGGAGCTCGCGGAGGCCGCACTATCGCTCGCACCATTTCCAGCATCCGAAACGCTCCTATTGTTTTCTTCTGCAAGGTCCCGGACCTTACAATCATCAACAAGGCCATCATCTACGTGCGTCGCAATGAGCAGACTCACACACTGCGCATCGTGCACGTTTTTGAGAGTGAAGAAGGAGACGCGAGTGCAGTCGCGTCTTTCCGTGAGATGGTAGCACTGTTCGACTCGATGTACCCGAAGATCCGCGTGGACTTTGTGGCAGTGCGCGGCGAGTTCGGCCCCGCGATGATCGAGTGGCTGTCGCGTTCCATGAAGGTGCCTCGCAATATGATGTTCATCACGCAGCCCGATTTGCTCTCGGCCGAGCGCGTGTCAGCAGCTGGCATGCGTGTTATCACGGCATGAACCCGAGCTGTCTCAGCGATGAGCTACCGCGCGACACAAGTAATTTCAATAGATTTTCTTTCGTTCGTGTAGATTGTTGAGAATTGAGTTTATCGTCGATCGAGGGGCAGAACAGTATGTGGTCGCATGCTCGACTAGCACCTTGCATGATGTCGCTAGTCATTGTGGTGATAGGGGTAATCAACAGATCAGTCTGAAGTAGGCGAGGTTGCGACGTAAGCAAGTCGTTGTAGCAACTGACGATTATCGAGACTAAACATGAGAGTATCGATCGCTGCTTTTCTTTAAAGTTTACTGATGCAACGCGTGTTCGACCTGTAAGCTGCTTGGGTGCGTGCATAGGTTTTGCGGTGTACTTGGTCACTAAAGCACAGCGGCCGTGGATGCATGAAGCGTTTACTACCAAAATTATCTACCAAGCAAACTATGTAAATCCATGCAAGGAGACAAAGTTTTAGCTCACGCTTTGTTCTGTTGTCGAATTCGATGCCATTATCTTGGCGTTGTCCTGCTCGTACGAATCATCTCTGCAATAGTATTACTACTTTACTGGCAAAGGCTGAGCCTATAGCATTTAAACGTTCGAACAGTCGTGAATTGTAGTCCGACAGCTCTACAGCTTCGATCGGCCGCTGTCGATTGATCTTCTGTTACCTGCTTTCCTAAAGAACGAAGCTAAATGCAAACCACATATCCTGATTGCAGATGTCACTAGTGTGAGCGGTATGTACAACTACGTTTCTTATGTTCGACAGTGCATGATCTGTGATACGACTATGTTTCTTCTGTTCGATAGTGCTTGGTTGGTGATAGTGCGTGCTCATGGAATGCAAGCGATTGCCGGAAAAGAGCACCATCGAGTCAAGCTGTCCGGGGCTTTGCCATTTTCACGAGACTCGTTGGTCCTCATCCTGTGTGTATTCTTATGAATGCATTCATAGCATATCACCATGTTTAAGCGCATGAACATTTATGCGGTTTCCTATGTCAGTTTACAAAAGAGCATATGAACATTTGTTGTTGCGTACGTTTGCAGCGGTTGACTGGAGGTTTGTCAACCGTTAAAGGGGCACCGCATCATTGGTCGTTCTTTATGCAAGCATAACGATTGTGCACGACAGCAGGTCTTCTTTGTCTTCACAAGTCTGTCTATTTATTCTGTGGTTGCTCACATCCGCTCAAATGAGTTAAAGATCTGCATTAGCTCATCCAATATGATGTCTTGCAGACCGGAACATGAGCAATGCCTGAAAGTTGACACATACATTGTAGCGCTCTAAGTTTGATCAACTCTGTCTCGAAAAGAGATTCAACAGTGGCGAATAATAATAAAAGCTGGAGTGCTGAGTGAGATCAAAGTGCATACAGCCAAGTATGGCAACGTTGCGTGGACATAAAAACAGTGAGTTGTCAACGTGTGGGATATCCATAATATCGTGTCATCAACGATTGAGTGGCGATACAACCATTGAGCGGTCTGCTGCCACAGCCTTTGTCAGGCGATTGCAACTGCGACGTCCGTCAAATTTAAGGCCAGCCCCAGCAAAAGAACCTGTTTACAGATCGGCGAGCGTTTCTGTTGGTAGCAGGGTTGTCCAGTCCACGTGCAATGATGAAACATGGGTATATCGGAGACAACTGCTACTACAGTCAAGCAAAGAGGGACAAATTGAGCTTATTGCCTTTTGCATGATGCAGTCAGAAGCATTAGCATATTTACATAGAAATTTTTCCGATGCAGATATGCTGTGCTCTGGAGTATCTTTACGTCACACGAAAGCTGTGCGTTACTACCGGTGGCATGCTTAAAGGATGACCTTTCCGATAGCGCTGTTCTCAACAATGATGGACAGAGCTCAGTCAGATTCTAGAGTCTCTTGTCAATGGACGGCGCAAATTGTCGATCTTTGTATGACGGCGCGTCAACTCTCCTCTATTCGCAGTTAGACGTCTGTTGTTCGACCTTCCAGCATAGCAACACTATCAAGTTGGTTCGGTGCGCGCGACAAACCTGCAAGTGATTTGTCACCATGTGAAACTCTGTCAAACGAACTGTTACAATTTTATGAACTATTAACGCATTCGTTGCAGCTCGTAGCTGCTTGCCTGCGCTCTCTTACATCAAGCACTCAAACCATTTCACTGGCATCTTGGAGTTATCCAAAAGCGAGTCGCCTGCTTTAAAAGACACGTCGAAATGATTTAGTCCGGTCACGTAGAAGCGATTACGGTAATCGTCGCCGAACTTGTCCAGTGGTATGCCTCCAGCGCAGCTTTTAAATTCGACGACACCATCATTCTCTGCTGATTTGTGTGGAATTAGATTCCCTGCAACCCAGAAGCGAAGCTGGTAGGATGACAGGACACCGATGTACGAGTTGCTACACATTGCTGCGTACACATTTTGTCGGTACGCTTTCTGTGCAGCCTTGTACTGCGCATTGAGCTCGGGAGTGCTATAACTTTCATTTTGGTACACGATCGACTTGATCCCTTCGCCTGCCGGGCATTGCTTTGTCTGGTCAGCGTATCTCTCCATGATAACATTGGTGTTGTCCTTGCACGACTCTTGGAAGTAGTCAGACGCCATGCTTCCGGACAGTGGTGATCCAGTGGCCACCCATGTCGTGCTGCTGGCAAGCTCGCACTTTTTGTTAGCAATCGCACCAGCCACCATAAGACCGCCCATCGAGTGCGTAATGATGATGGTATCAGAAATCGTGGATCCGTTGCTGGAGTTGCTCACCGACAATGCACGATCGCACACTTTCTCCTGTAAAAGATCGTCTGTCCACGAGTTATTCACCGTGTTGAGCATAGCGTACTTGATCGACGAGCAGCACGGCGTGTGGCCTGTCAGATTGCCCCAGTAAGTTGACGAGTCAACATTCTCCTCCTTCTCAACATGAACTCCAAGACCGTGGATGAATATACACGGACGCAGCGCGGACCTGCACGAGCACTGATCATCCAAGAATACACCAAATGCTTTCTCCAGAATTCTGTCTTCTGCCACAACAGGGCTCCCGGTCAAGAAGGATTCTCCAATCGATGTGACCGGACTCGGCAAAATCGTCGGCTCACACTCCTCTTCTGCACTGTCATCGAGCTTTGGTGCCCGTATCAGCAGACGCTTTTTCAAGTACTCCACTTCGATGTCCATATCACTGCCAAACATCTTGAACCCTCGGGACCCGAAGAAACACATGCCAAAGTCCACGGTATCCACCGACACCTTGAAAGAGTCACCACTCGTACACGGAATCACGCGGCCATCACCAGCCGTAATTTTCGACACGGCCTCGGCGTCACTGAGCGCTGCCACGATCGAATTGATCGGTGGCAAAGTATCGGCATCCATACAACTCACCATCGGGTCATCCCCTCCAGTCACGGAACGGCGATAAACGTACGCCACACTGTCCACCAGCGAGTAGTTGTACATCGTGTTGTCTTCGACGAAGGACGTGAAGGTGTCGTACAGCACGTGCGTAGGATCTCCAGGTGTTTGAACGGGGTGGGCGAACACGGAAAATTCAGATTTACCGTGAATTTCGGTAGCGACTCGCTTGACCGAGAAGTGGAACTTCAGCGATGGCCACGATACGCTCGAGTTATCCTGGAGTCCGGTTGCAAATGCCAACAGGGCTGCACAAACAACGAGAGACGCGTGAGCCGATCTCGACATGGCTTCAGACCACTCGATAGTTTCGTTAATTGTTGGTGATTTCGCAAGTGAGACGTCGAGCTGTGCCAGTCACAGCCATGGATTCGATCCCGACGATCTGTTTCAGTTGCGCGTCAAGCAGCTTCAACCGTGCGTGGGTATAGCGGGAACTGCTCAGTATCGCATGACTCGCCAGGTGTGTCGACCAGACCGCTTTCAAAGGCTTTGTGTGACCTTGTTAACAAAGTACTGGTCTTTGTTTGAGTGAGAATCGTCCGTGCCAACTGGACACTGTGTGTAACCCGTATCGCCTTCTCCGTCAAGCATATTCAGAGCATGATGATAGAGACTCCACTGCCGTCTGACGTTCCACCTCCTTCCGTTTCCAAGTTTTCTCATTGGAGATTTGCGTCTCACATCTGATCCAAGAGCAAAGGCCAAGTCTATGAAATATCTAACAATCTAGCTGTTGCCTGGAGCTCCGGCACTATACTGTGCTTAGTGGCCTGTGTCACCTCGCGGACCGTAGTGGTTCTGCCCTAGCATCGCAGTCGCTACAAATACAGCGAGTGTGCTGTAATCATTTACAAGTGTTCAGGTAGCAACTTTATGGCAAAATGTATTAACAATTCATGCCTGCTCGGTAACGCATTTGCGACGATTTTTCCACAACAACGAGTTTGACAGAGTTCACTATGAACTCAAAGAAAGTTATGGCTGCAGTAAGTTTGCTGTTAAGTATGAAACAAGATCCGTCGCTATGGGATGCCATACCTCAATCTGCACGTGAGGCGGAAGCGTCCGACTATCGATGCAAATTCTCTACGTCGAAACCAAGCTATAACGAATGTCCTTTCGCTCTCCGACATCGTCGCAATTGTTGGGGAAATATGATTGAGTATTTATGCATGGGCGGATTTGTTCCGAAAAATGGTTGCAAACTGTGGTGGGATAAACGTCTGCAACGTTCTGTCCTTTGCATCGCGAGAGTAGTCTTTGCGTTCCTTTTTTATTTTGTCTGGGATTATTTAGAATAATCCTAAATCGACAAAATATTATAATTATTTTAGTGTCTATTGAACCGCCCCAGTCAACTACCAACCATACACTGTCGATTTAAAAGCAATAGTTATTATTTAATAAGAGTTATATTTCAAATATATTTTTATTAAATAATTCTTATCTAACGTTTTGCTCAAATTTTGAATTATTTATTTTTTAAATAGACAGTGTGTGGAGTGTTTTGTTGCTATTCATCGCAAGTATACTTGAACTACTCTTTAAACGCCTCCTCGAAAGCTTAGCGAATTTAGGTCGCTTTGTTAGCCAGTAAACGACTACATTGATGTCCGCTCTTGCGGCCAGAACCCCTTCATCGTCGTGTAGTGTTCGTATGGCATGTGCAGGACTCAAGCAGACATCGTCCAGAGTTCTGACACAGAATTGGTCTTCGTCAGTGTCTAGCGCGACTAAGCCAACAATTTCCATACGAGCCGAGAGATTGTGCGGTGCTGCGTAAATGTCAAACCTATGCTGCAGGATGTACTGTCGAAGACGAGGACGCATCCGTCGGCTTCTTCGTGAAAAGCATGCCAAAGCGATGTATTCTTGCTATGAAGATTACGATCATGATGCACTCCGCATTTTCCTTCTGCAGTTTATACCTCACTACTGGCTGCACTAACGCATCGACGCCTATGGCTGTCTGCGCATTTGTGCTCTGCAGAAATACAGCAAGTGGGTGAATCATGTATCGAACACCTGCTGCTCATGCAAGTCACAACTGGTGAGGGATCGTAGTCGAGCTTTACAAGAAGTGAATTTGGTGGAAACTAGCGAACAGTTTGCTCTCCATTATTTGGCTAGCGGGTGCTGTCGCTTTCAAAATAGTTCTGAAGAGCTCGAGATCCGTGTGACTATCAGTTATGATATGTGCCTGAGAAATGTTCGACTTACCTAGTCATCCACATTGTCTCGTACAATACATCTGCGACTATGTGCGCTGCTATAAGCTCTTTGAAGCTTTATTTTGCCATCGTACGCATAAGATCGAGTGCCACAGGACAATACAATGTCTCTTCGGTCCCCAGCACATTAAAGAGACTGTTCATTTATGAATTTTGGAAGCAGACACAGAGATGCTGTCTTGTAGGGCTGGTACATCGTTAACCAGGCGGGACCAACAGCAATACTGTTTTCGTCCTTGGCTACTTTTACCACTCCGATAGCTGGATCATAGACCTATTCGTCGATACGTTGTTGATCGTGCCCACCGTTCACTAAATGGATACAGATCTGCGCATAATATGCTTCGATAACCTCGGCAAACAATACGTTCATTTCGCTGACGCCACTTTCTTGCTCTAACCAAGCCGCAAGGTATCGCACGGGCGTAACATAAAATTACCTGGCTATTTGACTGAGTGTCGAATGTTATGAGCAGACGTGCGCACTCCAAAAGTTTCCGTGCTCCTCACGTACTCAACCGTGACCGTCAAAGCTGCGATTGTGCACCACGAAATTAATTCTTATGCGACAAAGTAGGCCAATTTTATCAGCATGTTCGTCGAACTCCGGTAGATACTCCTTAGCCTTAATGATGTGTAATCAACATCAGAGAAGTCGTTGCCGAGGACAGACACAATGTTGAATTTGGCCAAATATATCGCATTTTATCACGCAACAAACTTGCCGCTTCATGAATCAGTGCAAATTTGGTGTCTACCGCATCCAGCTGTAATTTGTAAGGGGAGATGATGATGGTTGCAGTCGTACTGTATCGGTCTGCGCTTTACGTTGTATGTGCAGCAAGAGCCACCTCATTGTCTCTTTATCCATGACGAGTGATCACTTCGTTGGTTGACTACAGCAGCGTGGATAGCAATGCCACAAGTGCGACCGCTATCGCGATCGGACTCAAGGATGTCGTTGTTGCTAGTTGCTCTTCGCCTTTGAATGATCAATTACATTTGGCACCTGTAGATTACAAAGATTCTGCGTAAGACTGCTTGGCTGACCTTCTGACGATTCTATTAACAAGCGACGCAGAACACTAATCTCGCACAACCCAGCTCACAACAGGTCATGATTCGTTTCACTTTCACAAACAGTTGTGTTGGTCAAGTGCTACAGTCGCCGGCAGCAACACTTTGCACTTCAACTTGTTAAATTAAATTCAAACCAGCTAGTCCGCTGTCGTGACCAAAGACAACAGACTGCCGTAGCGAGGCTTAGTCAGTAATGACTCGCACACCCAAAGCCGAGACCTGGTGTATCATCTCATCCGCCGGTTGACCCATGAACATCATATTGGTTGGGACGTCCATCGACTTGGACAACCACTGCACCATTGCAGGATCAAAAGCTCCTGTCACGGCGATAAAATCGATCTTGATAGATGGATAAATATGGTCGAACAGGTTCACCACGTGCTCGAACTCGCGTGGAACTGGAGCATTCGGTTCACACACATGGACTAATCGCAAACAATACGTGTGTTCGTTACGCATCACGTACGCCACGGCTTCATTGATTTTTGGCAGGTTTGTTGCTTTGCAGAAAAATACAACCGGCGTATTCTTGATGGTCTCAATTAACTTGGCAATCAGTACACTACCACCAAAAGGCTGCTGTAACGGAGCCGGATCGCTTTGACCATATCCCGCAAGCTTTCTTGAGATCCAAAGCAATGCCTTCAGCAGACTCACTCGTGCCAGCATCACAATTACCACGAAGAAAAACACTGCGAAGTAGATGCAAAAGTACAACAACGCCTTCGTGTCCGAAACAGCATTTGCGAGGATACCCAGCGACACCATACAGAGACAAAAAATGATGTTGATCCACGACGTTGTTCTCCTGCGAGGGATCTTTTCCCGGTGTAGCTTTAGCAGCATGCAAGCGATGATGAAAGAAAGCAGTACACTCAAGAAAGCTAGTGCAAACACGCCGGACAAGACTGTCACCTCGGCGTTCAAGATGAACACGAGACTAGCAGCCACAACAAAAAATGCCAAAATGATAAAGTGGTTCGTGCCACGACACGTGTTCGCCTTGAGCAGAAAACTAGGGAAAACCCGGTCGATCGCCAAACGCTGAAGCAAACCATTGATACCGACATAGGCTGTCAGCACCGCACCAGCAAGTACACCAAACGCATCGATTGTCACAAGCATCTCGAGCCAGCGACCACCACTCAGACGACCCATGTACGACAACAACGTGGACTGGTTCAAGATGATCGTATCCAAAGGTACAACGGCCAACGCCAGAAAAGAGTAGGTTACATTGAATGCACTAGAAAGAACCCACATGTTGCGCAGAGTTTTCGGGAAAATGTGTGCAGCTTGCTCTTCCACGTATTGAGAAGAACTTTCGAAGCCAGTTACACCCAGCAAGGCTGTGCCGTAGCCCAAAACGACTGCAGATGCAAGACTACTAGCGCTTGCAGCACCGCCGAACATCGTCACGTCAGGGAGAGTCGTACTCATGTTGTCGATAAAGATAGAGGGATGTTGCGCCACGTAAATAATACTAAATATGCCCAACAGAATCAATGTGAACGCGTGGGAGACGAAAAAAATTAATGCGACAAAAGCGCTCTCGGCGATGCCCATCAGACAGAGCACTGCAAACACCGCGAGTAATCCGATGGTGCACATCATGACAGGAATATCCATGAGAGACTCGTTGACATAGTTCATGGCCGAGACACCATTGACCACCGCCGTCGACAAGTAGGAAAGCATGCTGAACACTGCACAGAGAGCAGCGAATTTCTTGGACGCTGAGTTTAGCATTGCATTGTAAACGCCGCCATTCAATGGCACAGCACTCATGACTTCGTCGAACACCCAGCGGAGACAATAGACTAATGTGACCACGAACAACTGCGTCACAGGGGCTAGTTTGCCAGCTTTGGCGATCGTTTGACCCGCAGAGAAGAGCACACTGGACAAAATGGCATTGCCACTGATGGATGTGGACATCCACTCGCCCAGTTTGTTCGTCGTCCTTTTTACGTGCAACGCCTCGTCCAGAGCAGCGATTTCGTCCATTCTTCCTTGCACAAATTGCGCCTCGCCGCCAATATTCGGATGCATCCAAGAGGGCTCCTTGAACCGACGATCTGTGACTTGGATCTGGATAAACCGCTGACGCAGTTGACTTGGAGTCTCGGCGCGCATAAAGTTCATCTCGTGGACCCATCCCAACTCGCCCTTGTGCACCGATAGCGTCGAGTGGTCACTAGTGTGCGGATCGTCTGCTCCACCTCCTGCTGCAGCTGGAGACGCTGGTGCGGATGACGCTGACGAGTGGGATGACAGCAGGTCCAGGTACAAATCTTGCGTCTTGGACTGCGGCATGACTGCGTGGGTGGGTGGGTGGCTAGGCGGCGGTGGAGCTGAGTCTTCACCCGACGCCTGCAAAGAATTGATGAATAGAAATACGCGACTTAGCTCTTGCGGGGGTTAATAATCACTCGCGTGGGTGGAGGAGGCAGTCACGATGAGCGTCCTGGTCGCAGTCGTTACAAAACCGGGTCCAGCTCTTCGATTGGTATCGCTGACAGCGTGGACAGAAAGAGACACTCGCAATACTAACGGCGGTCTCGGTCGTCGCGAGTGTGCCACGAAACTCGACCGTTACTCAATGGGCCCTATTTGGACAATTTGACAGCAAAATACGTCGTGGATTGTAAACTAAACTAAAAAACAATTGCAACGACGATGGTCACAAGAGTCCCGATCAAGGTTCACGGCTGGTTGCTAAAATTCGCATCACTGATGGTAGACGACGCCGTGGCAGATACGACGTCTCGAGTCAGCTATGATCAGTTCTTTGGCAGGACTTTCTGCGGGTCACCTTTTGCCAACAAAGAGCATAACTATTCTGACTTTGACCCTTATGTATCGAGCGGAAATTGCCTGCATCAAGTAGACTTAGAAAGCATCACGGATTATAAGCTTCTATGGAGCTTGCTTTGCGCCTGTCTGTACTGACGAGGTGTGTCACAAGAAAACATAGTGCAAGTGTTGTATGACTGTGGGCCAACACAACACGGACATAACGTTGCCATTTTTATCATGGATTTATAAATATCATTGAATATATCCACGTTATTAACGTTGCCGCGACTTTCACGTACGAGCGCATCCTTTTTCAATGTTTATAAAGATGTCGGCAAGAGAAGACAATCACAACATCCTCCTTATAAAACTACCGACCCTCTTTTGTAATCACAATTCACGACTTTATCTAAAAAAGGGCTTTTGAGTCGTACTCTGCGATCACACTCATCGCCCAATCACAAAAATCATTGTGTCTGCGTGAGGTCATCGCCATGCGTCATGATACACCATCATGTTATCGTTAAGCTTTGGTGGACATCAAAGGTTCGTAAGATTAAGGGCACGACTCAAATGAGAGCGAGGTTGCGAAAAGCAATCAAGGGGTATGTTAGAAAGTAAGAATGAAGCGAAGTAGAGAGATTGTAATGCCGCCTCATTTCATCACGAATTTAGAAGATGCCCCACATATTTGGAAAAAAAAGTGCTTCACGTCCTCGTGTACTTAACTTTACGTATTTCACATTAAAATTCGTTTCGTAGACCATTTCTAAATTCACTTTTTAAATGGCCGTGTCCAAACCCCCACTGTAACGGGGCACCCTGAAGCTTGTACTGGTGACAGTACAAGCTACTTATTCTGATGACAGAATAAGGCGGTGCCTCGTAACTTCACGTACACTCGTACGTGCAGAGGAAGACGGTAAGAAGAAGCGAGTACTTGGTTAAAGTAAAAAGTAGAACTGTATTTATAATAGTTAATGTCTGCAATAAATCACTATTTATCTTCATCTAACTATGTCTAAATACAAATGTGTAAATCAGTTATCTGCTCACCACTCATTGCGTGCGTCTGTCGTGGCGCGTCTTCGTTGGTTGATATAATGGCCTATATCAACCAATTAGGAGCTACTCGTAAGTGCTACAGAATATTTGTCCTTATGACAATATTCTGAGAATATAACTCTCATAGTTATATTCTATTAACAATTTCTTATAAATTGTTATGTAACGACTCACCCCGTTACATCACCCCCCCCTTAACCATCAGTCACTTTAGTGACTGATTGACTAAATGGATACTCGTCCCAAATCATTTGGGACAGGGTTTGCACTTGCTGGTCCGCGTCCACTTTCCAACATTTCATCGCATGGTAAACAAGCCCATGCGATGCGCGAGCAAGGCCGCCGAGAGCGCGTCTGCACGTCTCTGTGCGGACGCCGAAGCAGAAACAACAGCAACTGATGTCTCATCGGTTGCTGAAGCGACCCAGCCTGTGTCACTTGGTGATGCAGGCGCTGGTCATGAAGACACTCGTGTCTTCACAGAGTACGAGCTCGGTGTCTCGTACTCTCCTGATACGGATGATGGATCCGTATCGACGGCGATTGAATCTAAGCCGCCTGCCAAGCGTGGCATGGACGATGCTTTGCGTCGCAGCATCTTTGGTTCATCTGATGAATCAGATGAACCATCGCCGAAGCGAAGGCGCTCGAGGTCGCGAGACTCGGGCGCTAATAGTGGTGTCGGTTCTCCTATGGACACCACTTCACAGCGAGGTGCCAGTACTTCTGTCGGCACGTCGCAGGAAGAGCGGGACCGCAATGTGTTGCGTCTCGCTCCTGAGAAGAAGGCATGGATGCCTCCTAAATCAGTCATGGATCACTTGTCGGCGACGACGAGTGATCGTTATCGAACACGATTGTTCGATTCGTCAAGGATCCATCACCTTGACCCCAGCGCGAAAAACTATCGCGCTGAACATGAATTCTTCATCGATGCTTTCTTTAGACATCGATGGTACAGTGGGAATCACAAACGTGATGGTCCCTCACTACTTCAGGCGTGGAACGCCTACATCCATAACCTCGAGGATGTAGGTCGTGACGCTTGGAACGACAAACTTATCAAAGCTCGTGATAAGTTTGAAAAGCGAACCCCGACAGGTGCACGCTACAAGCTGCATCCTCTGTCAAGGGAGAAAGGATTACCCTGCCTCTCTTGGGGAGACTCGTGCCCATGTTGTGTGAACAACTCTGCACGAGCACCTAAGGAGGCTTACCTCCTTACCAGCCCGTGGTGGCGCGTACGTGTCTCTACTGAGATGTACGAAGGGATTGACAACCTGAAATCCCTTTACGACCGTACCGGGAAGACTTTCTCCGGCGGTCCTTCTGCGGCACAGGATGTGCCGCGTCGTACTGCTCAACCAGACCCAGTACGTCAACCATCAGTTGGGAGCGGGGCTCCCAAGTATCCCAGGACGGGGGATAGCCGCGCCACCGGACGAGATAACTCGTCCGACGTCCGTTCACGTCGCGGTGGTTCAACAGCTGCTCAACTAGATCGCGCTGGCCACCGCGAGAGTCCTCTAATGGAGGTGGAGGAGGAGGAAAGACGCTCTCCACACGATCATGTGGATCGGTGTGTACCCGAGAGCTTCTTTGATCGCGTAACGCAAGGGTTACGCGACGATCTCGAACATGAGCGGAATAGGCGTCTCCAGATGGCGGACACTGCCTCGAAGCATCGAGCTGAGTTTGCCTTTGCTCAGCTCGAGAACGAGAGATCTCTGACATCTCTTCGTGACGAGCTAAGGGTAGCTCGTGGGATTGCTGATCGGTCTCGGGATGAGATAGCTGCTCTTCAGACCCTTGTTGATGCCCACCATCGGGAGCACAAGGCTCTCTGCGAGATGCTTGAGCGCAAGGGCGTTCTTCATCGGAAGAAGCAGCGTACTGATGGTACGGCTTAAGCCGACCAACGTAAAACGTGGGATGCGTTCGCATCTTACGTGGTAACTCGATCGTGTATGCATTGCCTAGGCGGTGCAATACACGAAATGGGCCAATGTACTTGGGTAGTAGTTTACTGCTACCCAAGTTAGTCACTACATGTTTTGGTAGATTAACCGTAGACAGTAGGACTAAGTCACCTTTATTAAATAAAAGAGTGTTTGCCCTTCCATTCTTGTCAGCGTTTTGCTTTTGCTTATCCACCGCTTCGGCGATGGAGTCTTGCACAAAACGGACTACCGTTTCACGAGCCAGTATGAACTCATCTGATGACTCGTTAGCTTCAGTGTGCTGTGAGCGCACTGCAGCGACAACAACCTTTTCTTCAGTGAGGGCTTCCGCACTCTCACTGGGATCATTGTCTTCAGTGAGGGCTTCCGCACTCTCACTGGCATCATCTTCTTCGATATCGATGTTATCGATATCGGCATCAAACGCAATGACTTCTTCGTCAGAGTGTGATGAGCGTGAACCAATTCGGTTTTTGCTCGCGCGAGTCCCTCCCCCCCTTAAACCAGAGTTACACTCTAGTAAGGTGGGTACACGCGGATGGCGCAAGCCATTCACGTAAAACGGTGTATGTGTCGTGGACGCATGCACCGAGTTGTTGATGGCAAACTCTACCATTGGCAAAAACTCACTCCAACTCTTAAAGGAGTGTACGTATCCTCGAAGTGTCTCTTCAAGGACACGATTGGCACGTTCCGTCTGACCATCTGACTCTAGATGATCAGATGTAGACATCTTCAAGCGCGTTCCGAGTGATTTGAACACGGAACGCCAGAAATCAGCAGTGAATCGTGGATCTCTGTCTGATACGAGTTCACGGGGCAACCCATGAAGTCGGAAGATGGTGTCAATAAAGACACAAGCACAGCCACTTGCCGTGATTGTCTCTGGTACAGCCACAAGGTGTACCATTTTGCTGAATCTGTCAACAAATACGAGAATACCCGTATTCCCTCGTGCGTCTTTGGGTAACCCGAAGACGAAATCCATTGAGATGGATTCCCAGCACTCAGCCGGAACCGGTAGAGGCTGTAAAGGTGCACGCAGTGAAGGACTTGACTTCACTCGTTGACAGACTTCGCATGCGCGAACATACTTTCGCACAAACTGATACTGGCGGGGCCAGTAAAAGTCTCGACTTACCGTGAGATATGTTTTCTCTCGGCCACGATGTCCTCCTATAGGAGCATCGTGATACTCGAACATGATTCGCAAACGCAGATCAGTATCATCTGGAATGACAACACGTGGTGTGTCACCAGAAACGGCTGTATAATACAGTAAACCGTTACGAGCAGTGTATCGATCTGATGCAGATCGATACGCAGACGACAATCGTTTCAACGATTCTCGAGATGGTTGGGAGAGATGTGACAACAACTTCACAATCTCACCATCTTGGGCGTATGCCCGCCTCACATCATCATACAACGTTGTAGATGGGACTGAGGACGTCATAACCGCAATAGTGACTGTCTCACTGTTGGGTTTCG